TCTTCAGTTTTGCCACATGGGAATATAAGTGTGTGTGCATGTGTACATGTTCAAACAGTCCTCTTTTTGCACAGTTCATATATGCATGGATTTCAGTTACCACAGTTTAGTTAACACCAGTTCCCAACAACACAGTTTAAATTTCAGTTACCATGATATATTGACTAAATGAATTAGCTCACCAAAGATGAAAGTGCAATGAAACAAAAAATGACGACTCTAGAAGTGAAATTCAAACTGAACATGAATAGAGTATAGAAGAAATAGCTGATGGTGGGAATAAGAGACTCTGGATACGCAGCCAGAGGTCTCAGTGAAGGTGATGTTATCGACATTAATGGGCAAGTGGTTGTGATGAAAAGGTTGAACGTGTCCCAGAGCAAGTGATGCCGATAACAAACTTCACATTAAAGGAACTCACAGAAGTATTTCATGATGTTAATAGTACAAAGGATTAAGTGTTAGAAGCTAGTTCAGGCTTAGATGTACGACAGTTCATCAGGGTGTAGAAAAGATGGTATCATAAGTTACATGATGGGAAGAATGCAAGCACTGTTCAGGCTACTTTTGATAAATTTTGACCAGAAGTAAAATATTTTTAATTATCAGTGTTTCAAATTACAGTATACTAAATAACGTTTTACTATTTTTTCATTTCCCTATACATTTATAACTTACAGTAGGAGAGTTTTTAATGTGTTGATTAAAAAAATTTTAAGTCACGAAATGATCCTAACTTTCCTATTGATTATTAAGATAGTTTAAGATTATTAAGATTAAGATAACATGGTCATTTTTATAGTCCCACCCTATCGTGCAAAGTGAAGATTGCCTGTATTCATATTCAAACAATATCTGTTTTTGCTTGCAGTATATTTTAAAACTTACATGAATGGCATTAACCCTGTTCTAGTTTTTGAAAATTACTTTTTTTTTTTTGCGTTACGCGGGCTTCTCACTGTCGTGGCCTCTCCCGTTGCGGAGCACAGGCTCTGGACGCGCAGCCTCAGTGGCCATGGCTCACGGGCCCAGCCGCTCCGCGGCATGTGGGATCCTCCTGGACCGGGGCACGAACCCGTGTCCCCTGCATCGGTAGGCAGACTCTTAACTACTGCGCCACCAGGGAAGTCCGAAAATTACTTTTTTTAAGTCAACATTATGTTTAGAGATTTACACCTATTGAGTACTTGTTTTCTAAATGTACTTTATTTATAGTATTTGCTTTTAAAAAATTTTAAGTTGTATTTTTATTCCCAAGATTACAAAAAGTTTGTTTTTAAAAGAAAGCTAATTATTCTAAAATAGGTATCTTACCTATGATAAACATTAAAAAAAAAACAGTCCTAGCACTATTGTCTTATTGACTAAGTAAAGCTGTAGAATATGGTTTTTATACTTTAAACTTAAAATTTCTTTCTTACTGTATATATATCTATCAATATATTCATTCTCTATGAGACATGATAATTTAAGGCAATAAAAATGGTTGTTTTCATTTAATAGCCTAGTAATATTTACTTGAACAGTTTCTTCTTTATTGCTATAGTTTGTTTTCAGGCTGTGTAACTAATTTTAGCATTCCTCGCGGTATATGCTTTGCTTATTTATACCTTTTGTTTTTTACAAAAATGTTGAGGCCAAATTAAAAATTTTGTATGTAGATTTGTAACATGAATTAACATGTTAATTAATCATTTGCTAAACAGTAACAAACATTAAAAATTATTTTTTAAAACAAGGGTAAAAACAAATGTCAACCTTGGTATTCATTGGGAAAGCCAGCTAAAATGATTATCAGAAAATAAATAGATATACTGCTTTTACTGGATCTTCCTTTATTGCTTATTGAAGTATAATTGACTTACAATATTATATTAGTTTCAGGCATACAGCATGGTAATTCAGTATTTTTACGCATTTTAAAATGATCACCATGAGAAGTCTAGTTACCATCTGTCACCGTACAGAGTTACTAAAATATTATTGACTGTATTTTGTATGCTGTATATTATATCCCCATGACTTATTTTTTAAATGGAAGTTTGTATCTCTTAATCTCCCTTACCTATTTCACTCATCCTTCCTACCCCTCCCTCCCCACTGGCAACCACCAGTTTGTTCTCTGTCTGTGGGTCTGTTTGTATCATTTTTTCCCTCTTTTTAAATTTTTTTTATTGGAGTAAAATTGCTATACAATGTTGTATTAGTTTTTGCTGTACAATGAAGTGAGTCAGCTATACCTATATCCCCTCCCTCTTGGACCTCACTCCCACTGCCCGCCCCTATCCCACCCATCTAGGTCGTCACAGAGCGCTGAGCTGAGCTCCCTGTGCTGTACAGCAGGTTCCCACTAGCTATCTATTTTACACATGGTAGTGTATTTATGTCATACCTAATCTCCCAGTTCATCCCACCCTCCTCTCCCCACTGCTGCCCGTGTCCACATGTCTGTTCTCTATGTTTACATCTCTAATCCTGCCCTACAAATAGGTTTATCTGTACCATTTTTCTAGATTTCACATATATGCGTTAATATACGATACTTGTTTTTCTCTTTGTGGCTTACTTCACTCTGTATGACAGACTCTAGGTCCGTCCCCATCTCTACAAATGACCCAATTTCATTCCTTTTTATGGCTGACTAATATTCCATTGTATATATGTACCACGTCTTCTTTATCTATTCATCTATCGATGGACGTTTAGGTTGTTTCCATGTCCTGGCTGTTGTAAATAGTGCTGCAGTGAACATTGGGGTGCATGTATCCTTTTGAATTACCGTTTTCTTGTCAGTGTCTTACAGTTTTCTAATGACGGGTCTTTTACCACCTTGGTCAGATTTATTCCTAGGTATTTTATTCTTTTTCATGCAGTTGTAAATGGGATTGTCATCTCAATTTCTCTTCCTGTTAGTTCATTGTTACTGCATAGGAATGCAGCAGACTTCTGTATATATTAATCTTATATCCTGCCATTTTATTTTTATTTTTAAAATTTATTTATTTTATTTTTGGCTGCATTGGGTCTTCATTGCTGCATGTGGGCTTTCTCTAGTTGCGGCAAGTGTGGGCTACTCTCCGTTGTGGTGCGCAGGCTCCTCATTGCAGTGGCTTCTCTTGTGCGGAACGTGGGCTTTAGACATGCGAGCTTCAGTAGTTGTGGCACGTGGGCTCAGTAGTTGTGGCTCGCGGGCTCTAGAGCGCAGGCTCAGTAGTTGTGGCGTGTGGGCTTAGTTGCTCCACAGCATGTGGGATCTTCCCGGACCAGGGCTTGAACCTGTGTCCCTGGCATTGGCAGGCAGATTTCCTAACCACTGCGCCAGCAGGGAAGTCCTATTCTACTAGTTTTTTGGTGACATCTTTACTTTGGGGTTTTCTATAGTATCATGTCATCTGCAAACAGTGACAATTTTACTTCCTTTCAATTTGGGTTCCTTTGATTTCTTTGTCTTGTCTAATTGCTGTAACTAGGACATCTAATCATATGTTGAGTAAAAGTAGTGAGAATGGGCATCCTTGTTTTATTCCTGATCTTAGAGGAAATGCTTTCAGCTTTTCACTGTTGAGCTTGATGTTGGCTGTAGGTTTGTCATATATGGTCTTTTTTTTTTTTTTTGGCCCCGTCACGTGGTTTGTGGGATTTTAGTTCTCCGACCAGGGATTGAACCTGGGTCCTCAGCAGGGAGAGCACGGAGTCCTAACCACTTGACCGCCAGGGAATTCCCTGGTCTTTATTAATAATGTTAAGGTATGTTCTTTGTATACCCACTTTGTTGAGAGGTTTTATCATAAACGGATATTGGATTTTGTAAAAAGCTTTTTCTGCATCTATTGAGATGATCATGTGATTTTTATTCTTCAGTTTGTTAATGTGGTGTATCATATTGATTGATTGGTGGATATTAAACTGTCCTTCCGTTCTTGGGACCAGTACCACTTGATCATGGTGTGTGATCTTTTAAATGTACTGTTGAATTTGGTTTGCTAATGTTTTGCTGAGGATTTTTGCATTTGTGTTCATCAGTAATGTTGACCTATAATTTCTTGTGTGTGTGCGTGGTGTCTTTATCTGGTTTTGGTATCAGGGTAGTGCTAGCCTCATGGAATGAGTTTGGAAGCATTCCTTCCTCCTCAATTATTTGGAATAGTTTGAGAAGGATAGGCGTTAACTCTTCTGTAAATGTTTGGTAGATTCACCTGAGAAGCCATCTGTTGGTAGTTTTTTGATTACTGATTCAATTTCGTTATTGGTAATAAATCTGTTCGTATTTTCTGTTTCCCCCTGATTCAGTCTTGGGAGATTGTACGTTTCTAGAAATTTATCCATTTCTTTTCAGTTGTCCATTTTATTGGTGTATAATTATTTGTAATAATCTCTTATGATCCTTTGTATTTCTGTGGTGTTGGTTGTAATTTGTCCTCTTTCATTTCTGATTTTAGTTAGGCCCTACCTCCTTTTTTCTTAATGAGTCTGGCTAAAGGTTTATCAATTTCTGTTTATCTTTTCAGAAAAACAGGTCTTAGTTTCATTGTTCTTTTCTGTTGTTTGCCCTGGGGTGTCCCGGCACTGGTGCCGGCCTGCTGGTGGGCAGGTAAGCCCCTGCACTAATAGGCCAGAAGGAGGGCTCCAAAATGGCACTTGCTAGCACCAGTGTCCTCGTGGTAGAACAAACTCCCTGAGACAGCTGCTGCCAACATCTGTATCCCCAGTAGCAGTCCCAGTTGCCTCCTGCCTCTCCAGGAGGCTCGCAAAGATCACTAAGTGGGTCTGACTTAGGCTGCTTTTAAATGCCTCCATGCTAGGACTTGGAGCATGTGAGATTTTGTATGGGCCCTTTAAGAGTGGAGTCTCTGTTTCCTACAGTTGTCCTGCTGTCCTGCGCACAAACCCTGCTGGCCTTCTGGCCTTCAAAGCCAGACATTCTGGGGGCTTGTCTTCTTGGTGCAAGATCGTTGGCCTCAGTAGCTGACGTGGGGCTCAGACCCCTTGCTCACTGGGGAGAACCTCAGCAATTGTGATTATTCTCCCCATTTGTGGGTCACCTGCCTGAGAGTGTGGGTCTTGACTATACCAGGTCTCCACCCCTTCTACCCATATCATGGTTTCTTCTTTGTATCTGTAGCCGTGAAAAATCTATTCTACTAGTCTTCAGGTTTCTCTCATAGATAGTTGTTCTCTGAATAGTTGTAGTTTTGGTGCGCCTGTGGGAGGAGGTGAGCTCAGGGTCTTCCTACGCTACCATCTTGGCCGCTTCTCTCTCTCCTGGACTTTTCTTTTCAGTCTTTGCTTTTTTTTTTTTTTTTTTTTTTTTGGTAAAGAATTCCATTTTACTTCCCAACTAGCCCAAACCAGTAAAGTTTCTTAGGAATGAGGATGGTATTGTTCTCTCGTTATTGACTCTCTGTTACTGGGCCCCTCATGAATTTATGTTTTTCTTCTGCCAAATGAGGATAATTAATGCTAAACTAGCAAGGGGTTGCTGTGAAGATGAAGGAGAATCTCTGTAAAGTGTCTGGGATACAGTAGGTCATAACCTAAGGTGGTGATGTTTTGTTAAAGTAACTCTTCTGCTCTTTAAAGTAAAAATTGTGAAGGATACCAATGGGAAAGGAGGTCTCCCTAATCAGTTAATATAATACCCGATGGTGTTGAGCATTGTCCATGTATCAGGAACTGTCCCAGGTCCTGGGGAAATGGTGAGCATCCTGCCCAGTCTTTGAGCCAGTGGCATTTAACAGGGCTGAACTTGGAGGTTTTTATTTTCACTCTTTTGTCATGTTGATAGGTTCCTTTTCAAGTACAAGATAGACTAATTATTTGCTCTCCTTTGTTTACAGTTACAAGATAACAAAACTTTCCTAGCAATGATAAACCATGTCTTGAGTGTGGATGGGTTTTACTTTTCAACAACATATGATTTGACCCATACTTTGCAGCGGCTGTCTAACACTAGTCCAGAATTCCAGGAAATGAGTCTCTTGGAAAGGGTAAGCTTAATCTTCAATTATTATTACTTTTTTTTTTAATTTTAAGGAGCTTTTCTCTATTTCATCCATAAAATACATATTGATTTTTCTCAGTCCTGGCTCTATCAGGATCATGTATGGGGCTTTGAAAGTATACCGTGTTTCAAATAGACATCTCATTTCCAAATTCAGGACCCCAGAATCTGTGTGTGTTACACAGACAGGATTGAGAACCACAGGGTCCATTTTTAGAAATCCAGCTTAAACATGAATGTTGGTAATTTCCTAGCTCTCTGTGTTCTGTGTTGTAACAGTTATTAGCATTAGCAACATAATTGTACTTGTAAAATTAATGTTCTAATGGATGTTCTTTCTGCAGTGGTGCTTTTTATAGTTTTTACAAGTAGAAAAGTAACAACTTGTTAAGAACTTGAAAAATATGCTTTTGTTTAGGGTGGGGTTTTTGGTTATTTTATTGACTTAAGTGTATCTTTAAAACTGGACCTCAGGTGATTTCAACATAAAATTTCTGCTGTTCAGGAACCTAGATAATTGCTGCCTTGATTTTTTTGTTAGCCAGAGTAGATATGTTTAGGGGGCAGACAGCATTTAAAAGGTTGCTGTCAAAAAAAAAAAAGTTGTCAGTTATCTGTTAGTTTGGACCATACGAAATTGCCACTAATTGACCATATTTGACCAATAAAAATGATCATTTTATATAGCTCAACCTATATCTTTTTTTTTTTTTTTTTTGGCTGCATTGGGTCTTTGTTGCTGCGCGCGGGCTTTCTCTAGTTGTGGCGAGCAGGGGCTACTCTTCGTTGCAGTGCACAGGCTTCTCATTGCGGTGGCTTCTCTTGTTGCGGAGCACGGGCTCTAGGCATGCGGGCTTCAGCTGTGGTTCGTGGGGTCTAGAGCACAGGCTCAGTAGTCGCAGTGCACGGGCTTAGTTGCTCCGCGACATGTGGGATCTTCCCGGACCAGGGATCAAACCCGTGTCCTCTGCATTGGCAGGTGGATTCTTAACCACTGCGCCACCAGGGAAGTGCTAAATCGATATTTTAGTTGACTGGCTTTTTAAAGACTTTATAGCCTAATTTTGTAAGATTATATGTAGGCTTCAGTGTAAGTTTAGATGTAAGCTAAGCAATGAAGAAATTTGGCTTTTAATCGCAAAGAGACTCTTGCTTTTTTGCTACAGTCTCCATTCGCTATGCAATGTCTCTCAGATGCCTGCCATGTCCCAGGCACTGTACTAGCCACCGGCCACACAGGATGAAAAGACATGCCCCTGCCTCTCGGGAGCCTGCAGTCTACTGGGGAAGTGGAAGTCCAGGCAATCACAGAACAAGGGACAATTGCTGTCACAGAGATAGGTACCCAAGTGTGGTGGGATCCTGAAGGAAGGCGGGACTCACACTGTCTGGGGGAGTCAGGGGCGACTGTACAGAGGAAGGTGATTTTTGAGCCGAGACTTAATGATGAATAGGCCTTATTGATCAGGCGGCAGTGGGAGGAGGGTTCCAGTCAGAGGCAGTAGCAATATTAGGCTGAACTGAAGAAGAAGCCATCTCATGTGTTGGGATGGGAGGGAATTTTTTGTCAGCTAATCAGAAGAGTCAAAGTTACCATAACTTTGGGAATCACAAAAGTGATAAGTGAATCATATATACTATAAGCATTTTATCTCAACTTAAAACATAAAATTTTACATTGACTGGTCAGTTTTTTGATGTAGGATCATAAACTTTTCTTTGTTTTTGGTTCCTTGATTCCTAATTGTCTTTCCTGTATAAATTATATCCATAATGCTTTCCAGTTTGAGTCTCTTTAAAGATTTTGACACAGAGCAGTCTGTTTGCAGAATACAATTTTTACTATGTTTCTCCAGTCTTTTATAAAGTTGCCATTTTTACTCCTAATTCAACGGAAGTTTTGTTTTTAGCAACTTGCCTTTTATCAAGTTCTGTTGTAAATCATTCTTTATAGAAAGATCAGTTTATTTTTAAGTCATATTTCATTGATTTATAAAATAGTTAAATTATGTTATGAATAATAAGAAAAACTGGCACAAACTGGTTGGGAACGCGCAGTCTGAAACTCAGGAAGTGTACCATTCAACTGGTTATGCCTGAGTGCAAGAGCCACTCTTCGTGACTTTCTGCTGGGGACGGGGGACAGGGGAGTGTCCGTTGCTGTGTTTTATAAAGAGAATGAAGAGAATTGGTTAGTCTACTGAGGTGTTGAGGGAGTTCCTTCTGTATAGTTTGAAAGCCAGAGTGGCCAAAGATGAGAGCAGAGAGTTAAGTAGGGGTTGCCAGATTCCAGGACTGGTTAGATTTGGTTCTTTAGATGACAGTGAGCCAGTGAAGAATTTTCAGCAGACAGGAGACGTGTCATGTTAGACAACAACTGCTGGCAGCATGTGGAGGAAGGGTGTGAAGGGCCAGGCTAAGGCTTGAGGCTAGGGAGGATGTTTTAGTAGTTGGGCTGCAGTCAGGTGTTTGCCAGGGGTGGTGAGAATAGATATGTAGAAGAGGAAATGGATCTGGAAGGGGATTTAGGACTTGGTGATTGATTAAATATAAGAGAAAGAGCCTGCGAGGACTGCCAGGTTTCTGTATGGGCCAGCAGCACTGGCTTGAGGCAACGAGACAGGGATACCCGAAGTGTTCTTTTTGCAGCATGTCAAAGAGACCTGCTCCTAGCCACCAAGTGGAGCCATTGATTGTTATACTTTTCTTTCTGTAGAAACTCAAATTGGCAGGAGATACTGAATATTAATTTTAAAACTTCTCTCTTAGGCAGACCAGCGGTTTGTATGGAATGGTCATCTTCTAAGAGAACTTTCTGCTCAGCCAGAGGTAATGTACACTAAATAAAACCAGCTTATTTGTTAAAGTTCAAGTTTTAATTGAGTACATGTTATAAAATGGCTACCTAATCGCCAAGGATTTTGGTAAAGAATTCTAATTTAACTCTGTTTATAACTTACGGACTTTGATCCGATCTACCCTCCCACATCATTGTAGGTTGAAGAAGCCTAATTATTTTACTCCGATCTTCTAAAGAAGCCTTAAATAAAGAAAAAAATACCTCAGTATAAATACATTGCTGTCTGTAAGTGAGAGACAGAGAATGGGTCTTGGTAGATGAATAATGTTAGAAATCGGGCCAGAGCTAATTCCCCAGGCAGTGGAGAGCTTTGCATTTGTCTTCCTATGGGAGCCCTTTAGTCACCCAGGATAGACATGCATAGGTGTCACCTTCCTCTGTTCTTGGTTTATACAAATGAGATGTAAACAAGGAGGCCACCTAGGAAGCATAATGTATTGAATCTAGGTAAACAGATTTGCCTAATGGCATTATCTCTTGGCATTTGCTTTGCTTTTTTGGGAAAAGTAGTTTAAACTGCAAACCATTAATGTGGAGATATCTTTTCCCTGGAGCAGTGAACTTGTTGCGGGCAAAGACTGAAAAGGAGGGAGATAAACATTCTGCAACTTCATGTAGTTTTATTAGTGTTCCAAAATCTGCAAATGTTCAAGCCCAAATGACTGTAGCACATACTTAAAATTTTTTAATTAAAAAGACAATGTTACATTAGAGAAATGTCTTTAAAATTAAAAGTTACCCATAAGCTTACTACTTTGTTTTATTTGTATATTACCTCCCCATCTGTAAATATATTTTATATAGTGCTTCTTTTTGTTTATTATTTTTGAAGTATATTTATTCCTAAACATAACATACATCTTCATTTCAGGTCCATCGGTTTGCTCTCCCGGTATTATATGGCTGTATCCTTACATATTACTCTTTAGTTTTCTAGCAGCCTTTATTTAAATATTAGAAGTTAGATTTACAGACAGTCTCAAATATTACATGAGGAGAGTATTTTAGAATTAGTAGAAATCTCTTTTGATAATAATATCAAACCATTAACATAAAATCATAGAATACTGGTTGTAAATGACCATCGTTTTTTTAATAGAATAAACTCTTTAGACTGACTAATGCTCTCTGGGACTGGTGTTTTAAAAGAAGAAATATGTCTACTGTGTTTTGGCTTTATTAGACTTTGTATCAATAAACAAGAATAGTTTTAGCCTATTGAAAATTTTCCTTAGCAATTAAACAAGTTAGACTTAGGAACTAGGGTAACCAGCAAGTTGAAGAGGAGAATTACGATTAAAAATTATATTTGTCATTTGAAATAGCCATAGAAAAATGAAAATACATGGTGTACAAAGAATGATGCTTGGGGTGAGGTACAAATACAAAATGAGTAATGGTTATCTAATTGTAAGTTCATTTTTAAAGCTTATCTTTCTTTATCATAGACATCATAATAAAAATAGGGAAGCAAAGTGAGCTGGCTGTTAAAGGGTAAGCACAATGTGCTGATGAGTGCCTATAGTCAGGACTCTGTCCTGCAGAAACTGAGGGGGTCTTTCTATCACATACCCCCAAAGAAGCTTATTAACTAACACAACAGTCTGTGGTTTATTTGTTCATTATGTTAGTATGATTTCCTTAAATTATTATGCTTGTTATACTTAAAAACAGAAAAGTAATGCAGGAAACATTTTCCGCAGTTGTGGGGGAATGAAAATCAGAAAATGTCAGGATAAAAGCTCTTGTTTATTCTGGTTTTTGTTTTTGTTTTTCCCTGGAGCTCTCTAAGTTCTCCTAAGGATAAAAATAATAAGTGTACTATTTAGGTAGTGCTTTAAGGGTTTGGGCCAACTGTGTGTATGTGTTTTTTTAATTCCAAAATGAGATTGTGAATGGGCAAATAATAACATGAGATTATAGAACACTTTTTCTAGGTGATTTTAGAAAGTTTATCTATTTAGCTTTAAATCTGAAGTTTTACATTGGCTTTTGTTTAGTGTAACTTTTTGACTAGACCTGTCCTCAGATGTTTCCTGTACTTAGAGAGAGATCAAGAAAAAAGGGCCCAATGCGGGAGCGTGACTGGAGCAGAGAATGGACAGGGAGTGGGAGCTGTGTTCACAGAGGCTGCTGGACCCACATTATGCAGGGCCTTAGAGGCTTTGTCTTTTACTTTAACTGTTAAGGGAAACTATTGGGATTTGAATAGAGGATTGTCGTGGTAAGACAGGATCACTCGGACAGTGATGTAGAGAATATGCCAAAGGTGAGCAGGGGAGGATGCAAGGAATAGCTAGGAGCAGTTGTAGTAATCTGGATGGGAGGTGATGTTGCCTGGGACCAGGGTGGTAGCTGATGGTGATGAAAAATGGTCAGGTTCTAGATATGTTTTGAAAGTGCAGCTAAAAGGATTTTCTGACAAATTGTACATGGGGAATGAAGGAGGGTTGAGTATGAGTCTTAAGATTTTTGGCCAGAGTAAGTGGAAGGAAGCCATGCATTGTGGTGGGGAAGAGCCGAGGTGGAAGGCAGGCCAGCGTATCTGGGCTTCTGTTTGGACATGTTGAGCTTGAGATTTCTGTAAATATCCAAGGAGAGATTGTCAAGAAGACATAGATTAATGGAACTGGAGTTTAGGAGAGAAGTCCGTGTTGGAGACGTAAATTTTTTTTTTTTTTTCTTTTGGAGACATAAACTTGAAAGTCCTCAGGGTATAGATGGCATTTAAAGCCATGAAGTGGCATGAGATCATCAAAGGAAGAAATGTATATAGAGAAGAAAAAGGTGTGGAGAAAGAAGACAACCTGAAGGAGGTTCTAGATAGTGAGTAAATGCTAGAGCCACAGACTACAGGCCTCAGGACAAAGGACTTCTGAAGTAGGGGAGCCAAAGTAAGTGAACTGAAAGGATGAGTCATATAGAGTTACTCTAAGATTTGAAGTTGGAAAAATGAACCAGCAAAGGCAAGTGAGGAAGAGAAGAACCAACCAAGTGAGAGCAGCATCCCAGAAGCAAATGAAAATAAGGTTTCCGAGCAGAGGGTCTCATCAGCTGATATGCTGCTGGTTGTTTAAAAATGACGATTAGATTGAGAGTCTGCCTGCCGATGCAGGGGACACGGGTTCATGCCCCGGTTTGGGAAGATCCCACATGCCGCGGAGCAGCTTGGGCCCGTGAGCCATGGCCGCTGGGCCTGCGCGTCCGGAGCCTGTGCTCCGCAACGGGAGAAAAAAAAAAAAAAAAAGACCATTAGAGAAGGAGGTTATGTTCCTGTTTCCCCCACTTCTCCCCAAATGGGGGCTGTTATCAAATGCTGGGAAGAAAGATTTTGGAGAAGGTGGGAGCATAGTCACATGCTGGAGCAGTGTCCTTGAGTGTGTGAGGGGGTGGAGTCTAGTACACAGGTCAAAGGCCTGACACAGACAGCTTATCCACCATCTAGCTCATCCGCCCTAGTAGAAAGGAAGCAGCTATGGTGGACATGGAGGCTAGTAGGTAGATATATGTGGTGGGAGCATGTGGATGGCTTTTATTTTCACAGTGAAATTGGAAGCAGTGCCATTAGCTGTGAGTAGTAGCTGGAGGTTGAGGAGAAAGTGTGAAATGGGCATCCCAAGTGGGAGTGCATGGCCCTGAGAGTCACTAATTGATAAAAGATTAGAAGTAAATACATCGACATTTTAAAAGTTGTGTCATGGTGGTGGGATTCTGCATGATTTCTCTTTTTCTTTAGTTCCTTACATGCTTTTGGATGGATATTCATCTTGTAATCAGAAGAAAATGATTCATAAAACAGACATATTCCATGCTATACTCAGTTCTCTCAGAGGCAGACTCCATGTCTGATTCATCTTTGTGCCCTGCTCCAAAGAGATAATTTTGGGGAATGAATGAGTAAATACGGCTTTGGAGTCTTTTCTAGTACTGCGGTTTTAAAGGATTGTGAATTGGGAGCTCAAGATGATGATACCAGGTGGTAGAGAGGGATGAATCATAAGAAATTCATATTGCTAGTATCATTTGGTACCACTATTTTGAAAATTATTTGGCATTTCCTTATGGATTTACCAGGCCTTCCCCTCTACATACACAATACATTTATACAGGAGGTTTTTCAAAAATGTTTACGGCACCACTGTTAGAGCAAACTCTGAGCACCACGAGTTCCATCAGCAGAAGAATTAGGTCTGTTGTGATATGGTCCTTACAGATTGCACACAACACTGAAGAGGACCAAACTCCTGCTTCATGCAGTGCAAGGATGACTCTTAGGTACTTACTGGGGGCATAAACAAGGACTTGAAGTTTATTAAGAGTGTTGTGCCATTTTTATAAAACTCAAAAGCAAGCTGTGTGTTTTCACGTCATGGTTGCATATAATGAAACTAAGGCGGCAGGGGAATCGTCTCCACAGGGCTTCTGGGCAAGAAGGCAGTAGGATGGGATGAAGAAGGAACAGATATTAGATTCAGGGCCTTGGTACTGTTCGCAAGTTGGAGGTAGGTTTATAGATATTTATTTTATTATGCTCTTAATGCTTTTTAATGGATGAATCAAATTATATTAAGCAAAATGTTATGTATAGGAAATAACCATAGGGCAAACCCAAACCTATGAGGAAGAGAGAGATACATTCTGTTTCTGAATAATCTTTAATTTACAGTTTGATCTGTAAATCTTTATATACTTAGCAACTGTTATTGGTAATTGTAATTATGCATATAATATAAACTTCAGTAGCTTAGTCTTTTTCCCCCTTGTTTTCCACTTCTTATTGGAAGGTTAATCTATTTTAAATGTATAAGTTTTTCATTCAAAGATTTTTTTGTGATGTGGTTAATATTTAATTCTTTACTTTCAGAAAGTGGTTGAGACTATCTGGGAAAGGAAATCATATTATTTAAATAGAAACACTGTAATGAACCACTTAAACACACTGGCTGTATGTCATTATAGGGTTACTGACTTGACAAAACTTCACAATCAGTACTAAAGGCTTGTGAATATTCATGAGGAACCAAAAATTTGCATATTCTCCTTTTTATTTTCTAAAGGCAGAGTCATTCTTACTAGGGTAGATAGATTCAAATTTCATCTGAAAATAATACATATGGTTTTGCAATATGTTATATTTTTCTTAATGTAGTTAAGTTATTACTATGCACTCATGTTCTATTAATGGAAAATACTTTGATTGGATTCTCATCTCGAGGAGGAGTTGTTTCAGAGCTGGTGTCCGCTATTATGTAAGAGGTGAGATTAATTTTGTCAGCACGATTTGGTACTGGGTTATATCTATGTATAATTAATGTTTGGCTCATGGTAACATGAATATAACCTTTTGTATTTTATTTGTTTCATTATCATTTGATAGCCTCGCTAAATATTTATCTCCTGCTTCATTATGATAATTAGGTAGGTCTTCTGTACTTTACTCCAGCTACTGTAGTTACATTGCAGGTGTTAATGAGACACTGTAGGCTGCTGCTTACTGCTTTAAGAGGAATTGATTGTGTTATTTGCTGGATATCTGAAAGCATAGCTGAACTCACTATAGTTTTCAATAACCTAAACTCATATCAGAAAGTATTTTCTTTTATTGCTCTTGGTTTCTTTGCATGTATAAAGCTAGACATTTGACCTTATGCCTTCAACTTTGAAGATTTACATTTGAGCATTTATTCTTTGGGCTTTGTGCTAGCAACACGCTAATTTGCTTAAACCGAGCTTTTAAAATCTGTATTAGAAGTTACTGTCATTATGAAAATGAGCTTCCTAAACTCTCTTTTTTTTTTTTTAAGCCAGAGTATATCAGAATAAAATCCTATGGACCCTTAGGTAAATCATAGAAGTTTTGGGCCAGGAAGTTGTAAAAGTCCTTTGGTTAATCTCCTTTAGTATAGGTGATATAGCAGAGGAAGAAAGACATTTAGTGAGTGACCTGGCCAAGATCACACAACCAGGATTAGAGTTAGCAGTGCCCTTGTATCTGGATTTTCCTGGATTGAGTCATATTTTTTAATTAAAAGTTTTGAATTGGTAATGCAGTCACATAGATCAGGTATCAAAGGTATAAAAAGATGTGCAGTTAAAAAATATTTCTCATTTCTGACTTCATCTGCTGCATCTTACCTCCCAACCAGCTGATCTGTTGTTAGTTTCTTACTTATCCTTCAGATCATTTTTATGCTATTCCAAGTATGTTCTCCTTCTTTTGCAGACAGTGGTTGTATACTGTGTCCCTTTTCTTGCACCTTGGGTTTTTTTAACTTAATATATATTGGAAATTGCTTCATAAAGATGTCTCGTACGCTCACTCGCTCTCTCTCTCACACACACACACACAAAATCTCACTCTTATTCTCAATCTCACTTTTTAAAATAACTACATATTATTCCTTAATGGGAATTCTGGACAGAACCAAGTATAGCCCATGCTTCTGACAAGTAATTTTAGAACGTACTGAGAAGGCATTTTATTGCTGATTTGACTATAATTTTTTTCCCTTCTGTTAATACGTTAACAGAAACACTGATGTTATATGTTACACCTCAAAATGTTATATGTTTTAGAAGTATGTCAGATAGAAAGAATGTTAAGAAATATTTGAGATCGTTAAAAATCTGTTGGTTTTTTTTTTTTTTTTTGTCTTTCCTAATAATTTGAGTCAGGAACTCGCTTGAAAGTTGCCTTTGCTTAGCAAGCTTTTCTTTGTGAAGATAATGTAAACAAGATAGTAAGGTAATGCTTCAAACATTTGAAAGAACTAACCAAATCAAGGCTAAATATTTAAGAGCACTGCTTTTCAAATTAGTTTTTTTGGGTATATTCATGGAGTTTTAGAAATTGTAGGATCATATACAGTTTTTGTTGCTTTCATTTTGATAATTAAAATTATAAGCATCTGCTGGACCACTTGCATCATTATAACAAAATACTGTTAACATAATGGCCCACATTTGCATTTAATATTGTGTTTAATGGTTTTAACTTGGGATCTATAGGTATACTGTCAGAGGTTTTTGAGAACTTGTTTTTTCTTTAAAATATGTCCAAAATTTGAGAAACACTGTTTTAGAGGAATTGTATATATATAAACAATTGATATATTAAATAGCAGCCAACATTATTTGTTTGTTAATAGGGTCGTTAATACTCCCTTTAAGCCTGTTTAAATGAGTGAGCTTTGTTAGCTTTCTGATGATGGACTGTGCATTTGTTTGAAATTTAGTTTTATAAGTACTTTTCCACTAATTTGAACTGACTTAATTTTCTTCAAGTTAGAGTGAATTAGTGAGTTTCTGATATGTTTTTCTTATGTAATGTAGTTAATTTTTTTCCAATTCAGGAATTGATTCTGAAGGCCATGCAGCTAACTTTGTAGAAACAGAACAAATTGTGCACTACAATGGGAGCAGAGCTTCATTTGTACAGGCAAGTTAACGTGTCTGTTAGGCAGCCAGCCAGTTGGTCTCTTCTACTTGTATTGTAATTTCCTGACATACTGTTGAAATTTCTCTCCTTTTTAAAGTAATATCATTGTCTACAATATGGAAAGAGTTCACCCCAAACAAGGATATTCCATTAACCTGGCACTCAGTTGCTGACGTTTTCTGCCCTTGAATTAAATCCCTAAAGGAGAGGGTAGGGTAGGAGGTGCAAGGGTTATGGAAATGGAGCCACTGGTCTGCTTAACCCCTTAGACTTCTTCAGGGCAGTGATGACAGGACAAGCAGCTGGCTTATGCCTGACTTTACCTGCCTTGCATTCATTGTGACATAATATCTGAGTTGTGGATCACTTACTGCTCCAGAGTATTAATGGCTAAAAATATTTTTAAGTTCATAAACATATTCTTTTGAGAATGAATAAAGCAATTTCTAGTTTTATTATAATGCCAAATTATATACCAGATGTAACTTGGTAATTTTTACTTGTAGGTAAAAATTGATTTATTTTAGAATTTAGGAGAAACACAACTGTCTACTACACAAGTGCATGTATATAAAATCAGAAAAAGTCCTTTCCAAATGCATGCCCCAAAATACAAATTTTAGGAGCCGGTATGCATGGATTTCTTTCATAGTTAGTAGATTGCATTTTTATTTTTTCTTTTGCGGTCATTGATATTGTATATACCGCTGACAATAAGCTGAGAAAAACAAGTTTGTGCGTATGTTTCTTTTTACATATCTTTTCTTTTCTTTTAGACTCGAGGATCAATACCACTTTACTGGTCTCAAAGACCAAATCTCAAGTACAAACCACTGCCACTGATCAACAAAGTAGCAAATCATGTGTGTATCTTCCATGCTTTTTTCATTGGCTATAAATAGAAGCTTAGTGGCATTATAGTTTGCGTATAGAGCATGTATGTATTTCTTATAAGTCAGACTTCAACATCTTTGAGGCCTTTCTCCTTGGTTCTGGCACTTAGCGAGCTTATAAACCAAAGGGCTGTGTATGTGGCGTGTTAGAAATGTGGAAGAACAAACTGAATGACACGGTAAATTTAGATTTTAGAGATCTCAGTAAGATTTGCAGTCTTACACTGTTTAGAATATTTAGTGTATTCTGTTTGACATGCTCAGAAATAAAATAGTAATATTGTAGCTCAGAGTAGAATGGCTTATAATTACTACTCACTACATGGTATTTAGAATATCTAGAAGACATAGTCCATCTTAATGTCATTCTCTTGAATATAGAGATGGGCCATTTAAGGAGACACTTTTTAACATCTTATAAATTTTCTTATAATGTAATCTGGTAAAGTATATAACTCTTTTTCCCTCTCTCTAGATGGATGGTTTCCAAAGGCATTTTGATTCACAAATAATTATTTATGGAAAACAAGTCATAATCAATCTGGTATGTTTCTTACATTTTGGGGGGAGTAAAACCTTAGCATCCTTTTTTTTTTAACAAAATTTATCATTTTAACATTTTTAAGTGTGCAACTCAGTGGCATTAAATATTTTACAGTGTTGTGCAACCGTCACCACTGACCATTTCCAGAACTTTTCATCATACCAGACAGAAACTCACTATACATTAAACAGTAACTTCCTATTATCCCTCTTACCTCAGCCCCTGGTAACTCTATTCTACTTTCTGTCTCTATAAATTTGTGTATTCTGGGTATCCCATATAAATTGTATTGTGTAATATTTGTTCCTTTGCATCTTATTTCCCTTAGCAGAATGTTTTTGTTTATGTGACTCCAAGTTACTTTGTAGTGTCCTTTCATTTTAACTTGAAGAACTCTGTAGCATTTCTGGTAGGGCAGGTCTAGGGATAATGAACTCCCTTAACTTTTGTTTATCCAAGAATGTCTTAATTTCTGTCTCATTTTTGAAGCACAGTTTTGCCAGATATAGAATTATTGGTTGACACTTCTTTTCTTTCAGTACTTTAAATATATCATCCCATTGCCTTCTAGCCTCCAAGGTTTCTGAAGAGAAATTGGCATATAATTCTATTCAGAATCCCTTGTATGTGATGAGTCCTTTCTCTCTTGCTGCTTTCAGGATCCTCCCTTTGTCATTAAGTAGTTTGATTATAATGTGTTTGGTGTGTTTCCTTGGGTTCGTCATATCTGGGGATTGGGCACTTCTTGGATTTGAAGATCTCTATCGTTCATCAAATTTGGGAAGGTTTTTTGACATTTTCTCTTAAATAATCTCTCTGCCCCTTTCTCTCTCTCTTCTCTTTCTGGGACTCCCATAATGAATATGTTGTCTGTTTGATGGTATCCCAGAAGTCCCCCAGGCTCCGTTCAATTTTCCGATTCTTTTTTCTTCCTGCTGCTTCAACTTGATTATTTCTTTTGTCCTATACAAGTTTGCTGATTCTTCTTTCTTCCTGCTCAAATGTGCTGTTGAACTCCTCTAGTGAATTTTTAATTTCCATTTTGTACTTCTCAGCTCCAGACTTACTGTGTGGTTCCTTTGAATACTTTGTTTCTTTGTTGATATTCTCATTTTTTTCATATATGGTTTTCCTGATTTCCTTTAGTTCTTCGTCCATGCTTTCTTTTAGCTCTGAGCGTATTTAAGACAGTTATTGTGAAAGCTTTTTGTTTTTATTTATTTATTTAAAAAATTTAAAATATTTATTTATTTATTTATTTTTGGCTGCATTGGGACTTTGTTGCTGGGCGCCGATTTTCTTTAGTTGCAACGAGCGGGAGCTGCTCTTCATTGTGGTGCATGGGCTTCTCACTGTAGTGACTTTTCTTGTTGTAGAGCGTGGGCTCTAGGCACGCGGGCTCAATAGTTGTGACTCGAGGGCTCTAGAGCACAGGCTCAGTAGTTGTGGCGCACGGGCTTAGTTGCTCCGAGGCATGTGGGATCTTCCTGGATCAGGGCTCGAACCCGTGTCCCCTGCATTGGCAGGCGGATTCTTAACCACTGCGTCACCAGGGAAGTCCTATTTATTATTATTTTTTAATTTAGCCATGCCATACGGCTTTCAGGATCTTAGTTCCCCGACAAGGGATGGAACCCAGGCTGTGCCAAGTCCTAACCACTGGACCACCAGGGAATTCCCTGAAAGCTTTTTATAAATAAGGCTTCTGCAGGGATGGTTTCTATCAGTTTATCCTTTTCCATTGAATAAGCTAAGCCTTGTTTTCCGGTGTTTTTTTGTATGCCTTATGATTTTGTTGTTGTTCTTGAAAACTGGGCATTGGATGTTTATAATGTAGTAACTCTGGAAGTTAGATTCTTCTTTCCCAAGGGTTTGCTGCTGTTTTGTTTTGTTTTTGTTTTGATTATTGAATGCTGTAGTAATCTATTTGTTTTGAGACTTTTCCAAACTATTTTTGCAAAGACTGTTCCTTGTTGTGTATGCTCACTGAAGTCTCCATTCTTTTAGCTTGTTTTCAGCTAATGTTTTGACAGAAATTTCCTTGAGTACAAGGAACTGAAATAGACAAAGGAAAAAACAAAAAAGAGAGAACAACCCCATCTCCTAATCTCTGCAGACTGCTTCTTTGTTGGAGCAGTCCTTCACTTATTTAGTTAGGCTTGCTCTGAACGTAGGGATTAGCCTGAGGTGAAGGCTTAAGGTCTTTTCAGGACTTTTCTGAGCATGCATCTTGCTTGGGTATGCATACGGCTGTCTAAAACCCTCCATATACATGGCTGCTTTTGAGTATCCTAATTTCTCAAAGAGTGTCACCCCAGCTGCTTCTGCAGGCTTTAGATGGTCTATTTTATGTCTCCACCTGAAATATCTTGCCCTAGGTGTCTTGGTTTATAGTCCTCTTGTAGCTTATATGAGCAGTGTGCAAATAAGGTCTGGTCTGCTCCGATTTGTGGAGGGGGGCTGAGAACTGTGTTGCCGCTGCCTAAGCTAAGGTCGTCATTGCACTGGGGAAAGGATGAGATAAGGGCAAGAAAAATGCTACAGAATTGTCCTGCAATTTTGAGGATGGCTTTATCTTGATTGGACATTTGTCTGGTTGCTATAAACCTGTCTAGAGCTCCTACAAAGTTGGTTTGTTTTTGTGATGTTTTTGTGAGGGTATAAGAGCTTAAAGCTTCCTAGTCTGCCATTTTGCTGATGTCACTCTGTCCTTTTAATTAAACTTAAAGCTATGGTGGGACTTTCCTGGTGGCACAGTGGTTAAGAATCTGCCTGCCAATGTGGGGGACACAGGTTTGAGCCCTGGTCCGGGAAGATCCCATGTGCCGCAGAGCAACTAAGCCCGTGTGCCACAACTACTGAGCCTGTGCTCTTGAGCCCACGTGCCACAGCTACTGAAGCCCAGGTGCCTAGAGCCCGTGCTGCACAACAAGAGAAGCCACCTCAACGAGAAGCCCGCGCATTGTAATGAAGAGTAGCCCCTGCTCGGTGCAGCTAGAGAAAGCCTGCGCGCAGCAATGAAGACCCAGCGCAGCCATAAATAAATAAATAAACAAACAAATATTTTTTTAAAAAGCAGGCTGTGGTGTTTTTAATTTTTTACAGGTTAATCAGAAGGGCTCAGAGAAGCCGCTTGAACAGGCGTTTGCAACAATGGTGTCTTCCTTGGCAAATGGAATGATCAGGTACCTCACTAGAAATCTGTTGTAGGTATTTTCACAGTAGATGTGCAATGCATATATACCTAAGTACATAGATCTCTCTACATGTATTTCAGTTAGTTGTGTTCAAAGCATGATTTTGTTAGCTTGAAATTTTCTCTGGCATAATTCATGTTGCAGAATAACTTCTTAGCAGTTGAATTTTAATTTGAATTTTGTAAGAGTTTAGCCCTTGATTAAAATCCTCTCCTTGAGGCTTTGTGTCGCTCTGCCCATTGGGTCTTGAATTTCAGTTACTCATGCTTGTTTGGTGTGGTCTGCCTGGTCCTGACCACCACACGAGCTGGAGCAATTTACTGTTGCATGGCGGCCTTGTCTGGAGCAGCAGCTTGCCCCTCCTGTAAGGCAGCAGGCAATAGTTACAAATTCTGTGTAGCCTTGTCAAAAGAGGGGGGATCCTAAAACATAAACAGTTGCCCTGTGGAAATGTGCAGGGTAATGAGTCAGACCATTTGGAGCTTCTGCATTAGGAAACAGGGGTAGGAGGTGGGGGTAGACTGTGGTAGGAAGTGGTCACAGGCATTGGGGGAAGACTTTAAAAGAAATGGTACTCGGTTATTTGGGGAGAATTTTTTTTAACCTCTGGAAATTTTTAAACATGCACAAAAATAGAATGATATAATGAACCTTTGGGGAAGAATTTAAGCCTATTGTCCAACTCAGAAACTCTAGCAAATTTATCAGACCCTTACTCCATGCCCATTTCTGCCTTCTCATAGTGGAACCTGCCCAAACACACTTGGATGAGTCAGAGAAGTGATTCCTATCCAGGATGTGCCTCAAAGTCCTCAGAGGAATTACTCAGAATATACCTAAGACCTGAAAAATCAGCATCACTGGGTTTAGAGTCCTACATGTCTATTCTGGAAAAAGTTTATCTGCTGCCTCCTTTGTACACCCCTGGTTAAGCCCCTGTCTGTGCTTCAGAGGGTTTCTGTAGGTATACTCACCTCCAGAGTTGCCTCTAGTGCTTGTAGCAGCAGCTAACTTTGAGAACTTGAGGCATAAGTCAGAGTCTAAAGTTATGCCCTTGGTGTTCCAGGGCACTTGGAGGTTACATACTGCTAAGGAATAAACACCCTAAAGCTATTGTTACCAAAATATAATGATGTAAGACATTCTTAGAAGATACAAATGTAATTTTAACAAATGTAATTTTAGAAGGATACAAGCTTAAGAATCCAAGTGCATTTATGTGCTAGTGAGCCGCTTAAATTCTTCAGGCAACTCTAGAGCTATGGTCAGAGCACTCCAAAAATAACTATCACACCACCACTTCTAATGGAGCTGCCTTTGAAAATGCTTCCCCCCACTCCCAGTCTTCCCAAAGTCTGGCCTCACAGTCGGCTAACTTCTGTTTTTGTACTAATTTCTAAGTATCCCATTCTCCCCTGAGATAACCATTGAGGTGATAGAAGCCCCTCTCTTGACCTGCTGGAAGCCCTCCCTACATTGATGTACCTTCGGCCATTGGAGCCAAGGCTCCATGAGAGCAGACACCTAATCTGAATTTTACTCTGTAGATGAGAGTGTAATGTTCTTCTAGTCCTCCTCCTTTATGACTTGACATGATCCCTGAATAGGAAGTTGGGTAGAAGTGGAATGTGTGAGAATCTTCATGTACCCTGGTGCCCAGGTTCTCTTCATTCTTTCTTCCTCTCTTGACTTTCGGGAGTTGGTTAATGATTCTTCCCCCTCTCGAGGGGCAACATTTTCCAGCTCATAGTAGGGCACCTTCACTGATAGATATGTTCTAACTTTGAGATTTATACCTCTTAAATATTAGATAACTGAAAACAGCCCATTACAGATTGATGGACAAGAAAATTCTCTCTACCACATGTATGTGTGATGTATGGATAGTGATAATGAATATTTTGGTAGGATGAACAGTAACCAGAATGGAGACCATCCTGCTTCTGTTCTTGTCACAGCCCCTAATACACAACAGACAGTCCAGTCCTCCTTGGACTGAATCGCATTTGACCATTTTGAACATCTTAATTGATCTGAAAATAAAAAAAAAAAGACCCTATTCTTTGCACATGGGGGTAGAGAATAAATATACAGTAGATATTCAGTTGGACAAGGCTACTTTATATTAACATGCCTGATTGCTGTTCCTGAGCTCACTTCTGTAGCATTTCGCTGGACTTCTTTACTCCTGAGGGCCTCTAGAAAAACATGTGAAGATAGAAGAGTGTGTGTGTATTTTTTTCCTTCAGTAGATATGAGCATGAGAAGGTGGGTATGTCTGTGCATGCCTGCATGCATGTGTATATGTACAGTGGTAAACCCAGAGTGAAGGAGGCTCTACTGTTCCCAGGTGATGTGTATGTAGAGAGGAGGATCAGCTTATGAAGGTGGTATTAACAGAAAGAAAATGAATAATCTTTAATCACTTTCTGAATATCTTTTCTTTTGGTAGATATATTGCCTTTGACTTCCATAAGGAATGTAAAAATATGAGATGGGATCGACTAAGTATTTTATTGGATCGAGTAGCAGAAATGCAAGATGAATTAAGGTAAGCTATGTTATTTCCCT